CTTGAGATCCTCTCTTCTCCTTTGGCCCTCCCCCCCTGCTTGTACACACATACTGTCTAAAATAAATGAAATCTTTAAAAAGCCCCCCTTTCTTGTACCCATATATAGTAACCCTGCTATTTAGTGTGCCTCAGCTACCCAAAAGATTACAGTGTAATTTCAAATAAGGTGTATTAAGTATTAGGTTTTATTTTTTATTTTGGCTTTTTAGAGGACATCTTAAAGTACTAGAAGCTCTAACAGTTTTTCCATTGGAACCTTTTTAAAGGTTCAAAGACTCTAAATGGAGGCTCCGATGCTCAAGACAGTAATCAACCACAACATAATGGAGACAGCAGTGAAGAAAGCAAAGACAACCACGAGGCCAGCAGTAAGAAAAAGTGAGGACGTGTTTTAATGGGTCATGTATATTTTTAATTTTTAAGTCACATTGCTGTTCCAAGGTTATTTATATAGGATTGTATTTTGATCACTCAATTCCTGAACTCAGGAAGCAAGATACAAATCAAAAAGGCAAAAAGCAAAAAACTTTATAATTTACATTTAACTTGCCTGTACTCAAAGGGAATAGAGCTAGATAGTAGGAATCCAGTTTAAAGTAACTATTCATCTTTGTACTTCTTTCACTGATAACAGCTTTAATAGTGATTTACATTCATACTTTATTGCATTGTGACTGGGTAATACAAAAATAAGATCTAGAATCACAGGCTGTTTTGTATTATAGCCTCTAAATAACTAGTTATTGGACTGTAGTTATCCTAGTCTTGGTTTGTTCTGCTGCACGTTTGAAGGACTTGGAATCAAGCATCCCTTCTAATTCTGAAATTCAGGGAAATCTTATCTGTGTCTATGTCATCGACCCTCTCTTTATTAAGGTTTGTAATATGTTGGTATCACAGATATAACCTTTTCATGTTTTTTATTTAAAGCTGGAAATGATGGAAAGGGCCTGAGCCATGATGCTTCCCTGAGTTAATTTACTTGATCTGAATATTACTTTAGGAAGAAGATACAACACGGAAAATTAAATTTTGAACAAAAAGTCAAGATTTTTTAAAATAATTTGATCATCAAATTATTTTAAAAATAAAAACAATGCACGGATTTAATGTGTTCTCTGACCCCCATGAAGGAGAAAAGCCCCTAATCCCACTTGACACACCTTTCTTTCCTTCCTTTAGGCCATCCAGTGAAGAGAGAGAGCCTGAAATATCTCTGAAGGATTCTACACTAGATAATTAGGTTGACATACCTGGCATATAAAGAACATTTGAAGAGTTTGTAATGGTTTTCATTTGAAATATTTAGACTGCTGAAAGTTTTAAATTTTTATAAGCATAGGTTTTGATGTTGAAAACTTGTTTTGAGGGAGAAAAATCCCTTTATATTTGTTTAAAAGTAATTAAACATTATTGCTAATTGTACTTGTGCAGTATTAACAGCTACACTATTCAGTAAATGTGAGGGAAAACCCATTTAGGAAATGTTAAACTGCTTTTCCAGACATTTGGTTGTAGCATAATTTCAATTAGTGTGTGTATGTTAATGTGTAATAGTAGAAAAAAGTTACATTTTTAAAACTGCTACTTGTATAAACCTTTCCTCTTTTCCCAAATACTGTGGGTTTTGTGCATAGTTTTTACAAACCTTGGATTTACCAGACTGTCTTTTCACTGTTTGTGGGTTTTGTAGAAGTTATGCATTTTTATGGTAGATAAAATGTTACTTCTATACAAGTACTCACTCCTTTTATCAAAAGTTAATTTTAATTTCACAGTCTACATTGTGCTACATCATCCTGCTGCTTTGTAACAATTTGTGGTCTGTTTGCCTTTTGTATGACAACTAGAGATATCCAACTGACAATTCTACAAGGTACAAAACTCATGCTAACTTTTGAAGGTAACTTAGTTTTATGGCTGGGAAGTCAGTGAGGTCACGTGACTTCTACAGCAAGCAGAAGGGGGTATGTCTAGGAATGAATCTGGCTTTAGGGTTCAGCCATCTGAGATCCTTTACAGGCACTAGTAGCTGAAACTAAAAAATGATAAAAGTTTATTTTTGAGAACTGTCTCACGTTTCTGAATTTTTAAAAAGTCACACTCATTAAGGAAGTCACTAAGTATTTTTTTAATTGGGAAAAAAAACTCCATGATTCTTATGCAGTAAATAGTAGAAGTAAATGCTATATAAGAAAAACTAACCTATTTGAAAACATGGCTCTATCAGAAGGGGATTCTTAGAGATCCTCCATGTGACAGAATTGTAAGTAGAAAATATATGTTGCTCCGAGGCAGTTAAAGTAAAGGAGTACTTTGGTAGTCTGTATATTCATATATATGGACTAAATCAGGGTAAACCAAGGTTAACAAAATTTAAGGGTAACTTAACAGATAGCATTTTTAAGATATTTTGATTATTAGGTCAGTTGGTGGTTTCAGTAGCTAAAAGACTTCTCATGTTTTGAAAATACGAATACGGAGAACAGGCTTAATACCAGTGTTTGCATGTGACATGCATTGTATGTTTTGACCTCTCAGATAATGGTTTTCATCTATAAATGAATAGTTTGAATTATTTCAGTAATTGGAGTTTTGCTTTTTGAGAGGTCTTACAATGGAACTGGGACCTACTGTTTTGAGGGAACTATTGATACTACATTTTATCTGGTCCTTAATACAATTTAAATTTGGACAGACTTATTCTAGTTAAGCCATAAGTGTCAACATTGTAAACTTGTTTTGATTAAAGGATTTTTCTATCAAACTCTACTAGTAAATTAATTCTTTGCTATTTACAAAAGTGTTTTTGGAATTCTGGATTTGCTTCCAAGGGAGTAATTTCTTGGTTAGCTTGGTATAGAGATTGTGCTGTCTGGGGAGATAGATAGGGTAACTAAATATAGTAAGCTAAAAATGTTATTTTATTCTATAACCCAGCAACACAGCAATATAGTTTACTAGGAAACCACAGAATATTCAACTTCAGGAGATACATATAGGAGCATTCTGATAATTTATGTATGGTTTTTTTGGGCTGGCCTTGCTCAAAACAGTTGATTAATATAGTGTGAAAATATAACTGCCCTTCCATTTTCTGTTGGGTCATAAGCTGATTCACAGGTAACTACCACTCTCCGAACTCTTAAGTCATAAATACTAAACTTTCAGGAGCATTTGCTCCATTTTAATTGCGTATTTGATCAAAACTCCACTGCTGAACAAGTCACTAAGATAATTTAAACGAAATAGCAAAAGAGAAGATATTTTCTTCTCTTTGCGGGGGGCATGTATAAACCACCTATTTTGTGCTGCTATTTAAACCTACTGGCCAACATTTAAGAGTAAGCTATGGACGGCCCTGCAGAATGAATTGCTGGAAGCTTTCTTAGCTGCTCTGGAGATTGCAGAGGTGTCATCTGAACTGGAGAAACTGTATCAACAACTTGATCTTAAACCTTCTATTACATGCTGCAGTTTCAAATAGGATGATCTTTTTTACCCAGTTTTTGCTGATACACTGTAGTGTACTGACACACACTTACCTGATTGAAGATGTCCGGTCAGGAGGAGGTCTGCCCACTAATCCTATATAAAAGCAAAGGCTTACAAGGCTCTGTGAAGGCTTCACTAACAAACACCTTATTTTGTCCCATTGGTCAGAGAAAGGATGATCTATTGGAAATAGCAAACCCATAATTACAAACCTTAAGAAATGAAGTTGCTATATAGGTAGAAATGTTTTCATATTTGTGCTATGGAATTCATAATAAAGACATTATGATCTGATTAGGAGAAGGTAAAATTATCCTTACCAGGATACCAAAGGCTGAAAAAGATATCTAAAGAAACAGGTATTGCTTTTCTAAATAGTGCTTTTTGTGCATGTTCATCCATTATTATATCAAAATCTCATTTCTAACTATAGAGGATGCTGATTTATAAGTTCATTACCATATTTGCTTTTCTTCATTAGATAAAATGACATATATAATTTAGGTCATGTTTAATATCAAAATTTATAGCTATAAAATACTTAATTCAAGACCTCTTTTAGGCCTGTTTTCAACTTGGAAGGTCTTTTGACCTGAATTTGGTGGGACACCTGTATAACTGATAAACATGGGCAAAATTTCTGGGAGTGGCTAGGTCGGTCAGTCTTCCTCTAGATTTCACAAGAGGAACTGATAACACAAAGACATTTGAGCCTTTGTAACTTTGCTGGAAAAGTTACCCTCAAGAACCAGAAGGATGAGATTCTTAATAAATGATAAAATAAGGGACGCCTGGGTGGCTCAGTCGGTTAAGCGTCTGCCTTTGGCTTAGATCATGATCCCAGGGCCCTGAGATCGAGTCCCGCATCGGGCTCCTTGCTCAGCAGGCTCCTTGCTCAGCGGGGAGCTTGTGCTTCTCCCTGTTCCTGCCGTTCCCCCTGCTTGTGCGTGCTCTCTGACAAATCAAATCTTTAAATTAAAAAAAAAAAATTTCACTAGCAGTAATGTTTTGACAGTCTTCTTTGTCCACTAAAATGAATTGATCACATGTGGACTAATGCTTTTGTTAGGACAGTACACTGCATGTTTTGGAATTTGCTGTTTTGAGAATATGAAATGAAAATGAATCGAAGTAAACACCTAAACATACTACACTATATATTAACTAAGTAGAATTTAAGTAATTTGGAGAGAAAAAAAAGAACAAACAGACCCTTGCATACTAATGCAAGACCTACAAGGAATACAGTTTAAAAATAAAGGAAGCAGGGGGTGCCTGGGTGGCTCCGTCAGTTGAGTGTCCAACTCTTGATTTTGGCTCAGGTCATGATCTCAGGGTCATGGGATTGCATTCTGTGTTGGAATCAGAGTCTGCTTGGGATTCTCTCCCTCTGCCCCTCTCCCCACACGCTCACTAGCTCTCTAAATTAAAAAAAAAAAAAAACTTTTAAAAAGCAGAAATACATTTTTACCTGTAGAACTTACAGGAATTGGGTAAACGTGGTTTTCTAGCAGAATTTTTAATCTGTTCAACTTAGCATCATTGGAAACATGAAAGTAGAAATTTAGACAGTAACATAAGCCAGCCAGGGGAGACACCTCTTCTTTTTACTGATCCTCTGGTGTATTTATTGAATCAGTGAATGAGACCATCACTACACATACCAGAAACAGGTGCTTGTCCTCAGCACACCAATCAACTTAACTGGATATGTCATCTAAGTCCATAAAACATTTCACTGCCAATCTTTTAAACATACAGGCTTAAAGGCTTCATCAGTTTTTGATTTGTATGGTAAATCTCTGTTCTTAGCCATCCAGGGAATGTGGAACTCAGTTGAATTTAAATAAATAACCTAGGAGAGAGAAAGTGGAATTTAAATAATGACACATTTAAAAGGAACTATTTTACAGCACTCTTAAAGTCTTAAAACTAAATTTTCCACCAAAAAAGATTTTGGTAAAACATTTCAATATAGATAGCTGTAATTTTCTGTGATGATCTAGACCTTGGAATTCATCTAAGGTGTCCTTTTGCCCAGAATGAGAAGTGAATAAACTAAGGGTTGTCAGGGTGAGGGAGCTGGAGGAATGGAAGAGTTGGGCCAGAAAAACTCTTGTTTTTGCATATAGAATACTGGGTATTATTGTGCAAGAATGAGTGAACCAGAGCTAGCAATCCACACGATCTTGACTTCCCATGTCCCAATGGTCATAATTACATAAAATCTGTTATTTTTTTTTCTTTTTAAGATTTTATTTTTAAGTAATCTCTACACCCAGTGTGGGGCTCAAACTTAAAACCCTGAGATCAATAGTTGCATCCTCTACCAACTGAGCCAGCCAGGTGCCCCAAATCTATTTTCTTAATCATAATATTAAACTGAAAAAGTTCTCATCAAGAAATGAAGCTTCAATTTAAACATTACTTTTGTGAAGATATGAGTATATACTGAAGATCTTTTTACAATTCATTATTCATGCAGTGAGTCTCATTAAAATGATTAGTATGCTTGCTAGATTCTACCAAAAACAAAACCTAGGGGCGCCTGGGTGGCTCAGTCGTTAAGCGTCTGCCTTCGGCTCAGGTCATGATCCCAGGGTCCTGGGATCGAGCCCCACGTCGGGCTCCCTGCTCTGCGGGAAGCCTGCTTCTCCCTCTCCCACTCCCCCTGCTTGTGTTCCTGCTCTCACTATGTCTCTCTCTGTCAAATAAATAAATAAAATCTTAAAAAAACAAAAAACAAAAAAAAAACCCAAAACCTAGTATTACAAAAGAGCCCACCGTGGGATCAGATTACAGAATAGCTATTCTTAATACTGTATTTGTTAAATCTACTTTTATTCTTCTCCCTCATTTTTATCACAGATATTTAAATAAGGATCTTTACCTTGGAAGCCTCATGGTACAAGGTATAGCTCTCACATTCTTCAAGGAATTTTCAAAATACTTCCACCACTTGATGTATGATTAACTGAATTTTTCTAACTATAGATTAGCAAAAAGTACTCTGGACACAGAATGATTAGGCAAGCCACAGACTGGCTAAAAACCAGAATACTTGAATCTGACAGGATTTGTATTCAAAAAAATATAAAGTACTCCTACAACTTAGTATGATAAACACACTTAAAAATGGGCAAACACACTAAATAAAAACCCTATTTTGAAATAAATACTAAAAGATTTCTAAACACAAGTTACTTTATAAGAAAACCTGTGATTTAAAAAAAAAGAGAAAACCTGTGATGTGAACTTTTGCAGGGGTGTGGGTAACTAGCTGATTATTTCAGGTGGATCCTGTTCCTCAGTGGCATGTTCTGGAAATAAAGTAACCATCCAAGAGGACAGTTACTTCACAAAGTACATTTTTTGTTATTATTAGTTAAAGGTTCCAGGATCAACATAAGGATAAGCAAGGAATTCCCCTAGTTTGTTGCCTTCTGAATCATAGTGGAGCATCCGAAAGCAAACATCACAAAAGAAACATGGGTCCTCTGGTGCAAAACTGTCATTGTTCGTCACCCATCTGTAATTAAAAAAAAGATGTACATCATTACAATCAACTTTCTCAAGCTTTAATGTGTTATGACCTGTAGTAATGTGTAAACATAACATTCCCACTATTGTCTTACCATCCTATCTTAATATACCGTAATCCTTTATACAATTTTGTGTGTGTATATAGATAGATACAGACATATCACTACCAATACTCTGCAGGGCAAAAGGGCAACTAACAGAAACCCTGCAGAATGCTGTTTCTCTGAAAGACTTCTTAAAGGTAAGTAGAGAAAAATGTAAATCCATACGTGAAAGCATTCTGCACTTTTGATATGGCTTACCTATCCTCTAAGTAACTGTTAAAATGTAATAGGCCATCTTGAAAAACCATAATATTATTAGATGCCACAGACCTGATGAACTTTTGTGTAACTTATCTTTTTAACTGGTAAATTAGTCCTGGCTAATTTGAAAACTCCAGGTGTTTTATCTAGAATTCAGGATAAAATGTTATAGAGCGTATACAAATGGGAATATGGGCAACAATCAACTGATACTTTTGTTTTTTGGCCTGAGATGTTACTGGTTTCGGGAAGATCAAAGACTGGTTTTCAGTCTATTTGAATCTGCATCTCATGGTCTATTTTAACATTCCCTGATTTCCAGTTTGATAACTGATTTATCATGTTTTCCTACTTACCATTTAGAAAAGCCTATTGGGGGGGGCGGGGAGAACGCCCCCCCTCAAAATCTGATAAACAATTATTCTCTTTTCCTTTGAATTTTTTGACTCTGATCCACAGTTAAACTGTGTGAAGTATCACATAAAGTAAAAAATTTTATGGAACCATATTTTGACCTCATTATACATATATTGAATGCTGTGTTATTTTTACATGGAGGAGCCGTGGATGAAGCTGATTTTGTAAAGCTGCAGAGAAAAAGATGACATGGCTCCCTGATGACACTAAGTATTGACTCATCCAAAGTCTGACCCAGTTCTGGACTTCCACTATATAGAATTCATTTCCTTACTGTTTAAATGTAACCTACTTTGCAGCACTTAACTACTAGATAAAACCATTTCTATTATTTATACCCCCAAAGTTTAAGTTCTCAGATTCAAATCAAAATAGGAAACACTGAAATACCAAAAATCGAAAGTATTTCACTATTGAAAACCAGTAATTCTTGAAGAAAGAAATACGTATCACTTACCTGGCTGTGTACATTTTACAAACAAAACATTTTCTGGTCCACAGCCAATGCTTCTTGATAAGAAGGGGATAAAGTGTCCTATCCAAGCAGTCATCACAATGCGCAAGCCTTTTGTACATGAGACGTAAACGAAGATATTAAAATGCAAATTGTTAAAAAATGCAAATTGTGGTCTGTAAAGAAATATATCTGTACCTCAACATTAAGAACATATAGTAGGTATATTTTTCAATTTTTTTCTTATGAAAGACTTAGGTATAAAATCACTTGTTACACTAGGTCTGACCTGTGTTCTACAAAAACACTCTCCTAAAGATCATTTGGGATTAAATAATGTTTTCTTTCCTATGAAACTTCCCAAAGCATTTTATGGTAATGTGTTCTGTGACTCTATAAGAGGGAGATCTGCGTACAGCAAATCTTGAATGTATTCCATCAGAGAGTCCTTGCTTTACTCAACGCTTAATACCTTCTTATGAAACATAGTTTGAGCAACTATTTTATCTATTTGGTTATGTGTCATGTGGCTCTTGTTCACCATCCTCTTTATTAAAATCTAAATCGTACTCCTGGTATAATGTGAACTGATAGAGGACTCCAGTTTTAGGTGTCAGAATTCGTAAATTGTAAATGGAAGTCAGTCTCTACTATGCGACTGATCAGCTGACTGGGTGTGAGTAAATTCCTTAACCATGCTGGACCTTAGATTCTTCATCCAAAAAATGAAGGGACTACACCAGAGTGTTCTAAAGGTCCGTGACCATTTTAAAATTTGATTCTTACTTTTTGTCCTTTAGTAAGAAAGGGTAGCAATATATCAACTTCATTATCAGAAAATGATTAATAAAACTTGTAAGCTTACCAACTATTATTAGTTTATTTTAAAGATTTTATTTATTTGACAGAGAGATAGTGAGAGCAGGAACACAAGCAGGGGGAGTGGGAGAGGGAGAAGCAGGCTTCCCATGGAGCAGGGAGCCCGATGAGGGGCTCGATCCCAGGACCCTGGAATCCCGACCTGAGCTGAAGGCAGACGCTTAACGACTGAGCCACCCAGGCGCCCCAACTTACCAACTATCAGACTTTGGAATGGCACTGAATGATTAAGTCCACCTAAAAGATAAAAATGACTTGTAGTCTAAGGGTGCCTGGGTGGCTCAGTGGATTCAGCGTCTGCCTTCGGCTCAGGTCGTGATCCCAGGGTCCTGGGATCAAGCCCTGCTGAGCAGGGAGCCTGCTTCTCCCTCTCCCTCTGCCCCTCCCCCCTGCACATGTGCCCGCTCTCTCTCTCTCTCAAATAAGTAAAATCTTTTGTAAAAAATGACTTGCAGGGTGCCTGGGTGGCTCAGATGGTTGGGCGTCTGCCTTCGGCTCAGGTCATGATCCCAGGGTCCTGGGATCAAGTCCCACATCGGGCTCCCGGCTCGGCGGGGAGCCTGCTTCTCCCTCTGACCCTCTCCCCTCTCATGCTGTTTCTCTCTCGCTCGCTCTCTAAAAAATAAAAATAAAATCTTTAAAAAAAAAAAAAAATGACTTGCAGTCTAAATTACATTTAAAAATTCTTTAAAGGGCGCCCGCCTGATTCAGGCAGTAGAGCATGTGACTCTTGGTCTCGGGGGTTGTGGGTTCAAGCCCCACACTGGGTGAAGGGACTGCTTAAAAATAAAATCTTTTAAAAACTGAAACTAAAAAATCTTTTTAAAAAGCTAAAACTAAAAATTCCTTAGGAACATCCCACGCTGCAAATGTTTAATAAGCGTCGTTTTCCCACATTGCCTTGAGTTTAAGGACTGACACCGCAGTATAGTAAGAAATGTTAAACTAAAATCAGAGGAAAGTGGTTTGTCTTCCATCTTATGCTAATTCTCAGGCACGTTCCCCCTCAGGGAAAGAGCAGGCAGAATAGCTTATATAAAATTATCAAAGAAATATATCTAATTTTAAGTCCTACAAAACAGGTTTATGAGCTCTCCTGACCCCCTGGCCCTTTGCTTCAGCAAATCTTCCCTAGGGCCACTGTTTCGCGTACTTAACTGTTTCTTTTAAATTTACCTCCTCAAGGGGCGCCTGGGTGGCTCAGTTGGTTAAGCGACTGCCTTCGGCTCAGGTCATGATCCTGGAGTCCCGGGATAGTGTCCCGCATCGGGCTCCCTGCTCGGCGGGGAGTCTGCTTCTCCCTCTGACCCTCCCCCCTCTCATGTGCTCGCTCTCTCTCTCAAATAAATAAAATCTTAAAAAAAATAAATAAAAAAAATAAATTTACCTCAACATCTGTCTACAGAACCAAAATAACTTTGATTAAATATTTAATGTTTACATGATGCCAAATTAGTATTACTACTTACACCTCAACTCCACAACTGACTGCAGATTCCTTTTACTGTGTAACACACGGTTTTCTAGCTACGAGCCAGAGGCTGCCAGCTAACGACTTCTCTCAGGTTCGCATCTGCTTAGGTTGCAGTGTGTACCTGTTGCTAATTTAGTTCTGTACTTCCCGACAGAATGAGAAGCATGCTCTCCGAGTGTTTATGCACCAGCGGGACGCCTGGCAGCAGTTCTAGACATCTTCCTGAGTTCTCTGCTGCGCTCCCGTCTCGGGACAAATCGCCTTAGGTGGCCATCATGCTGGGATTTCCCTTTATCAGCATTCTCTCTTCTGCTTTGCAGTCATGGTTTTTTTTCTTTTCTTTTTAAGATTTTACTTATTAGTCAGAGAAAGAGAGCACAAGCAGGGACAGCAGTTGGCAGAGGGAGAAGCAGACTTCCTGTTAAGCAAGGAACCCGACTCAGGGCTCAATCCCAGGACCCTGGGATCATGACCTGAGCCAAAGGCAGACGCTTAACCGACTGAGCCACCCAGGCGCCCCTGCATTCATGTTTTTCTATTTCAAGGTTTCCTAAGCAGAAAGTGTGAAGTCCTTCCTCGGGAAACCTCCTGAGAATAAGTGCATGCCAGGCAGAATTTTGGAGACTGGTCACTAAGATCCAAGAAAAGTGGAGGCAGGGACTTTCCGAAGGCATCAGTTCCTACTACTGGTATAATAAAAAGCCTGGGTGTATCACTACTCCATAAAAAAAAAAAAAACCATAAAAATGGTCTCTCGGAATTAAAGCAGGGATGGAATAGGGCTTATTCCTATATATTGATCCTTCACAAATTGAGATTTCCTAAATAAGGAAGAGCCTTATGAGAAAGACACCCAAGCTATACCAAATTATAACAAAATCTCATTTTAAACTAGTCCTTCTCACTTTATACTTGATGAAAGCATTAAGACTTCACATTTGTCAAATACTAGAATGACCCTTCTCTTCCCCCAGTTCCCTTTGATCTCCTTAAAATTCTGGCAGAGACAAGAAACCTAGACACATAGTTGCAAACTGGCTAAGCAAAGGCATGAGAGGATATACAAAGTGATCTCCAAAGCGGATGGCTACTGCCTGCCTGATCTACAAATGGAGACATTTACAGATTTTTAACCCTCTAATAAAGTATTTCTATCATAGATACTCCCCCAAATAAAGACAGAATATAAACGGATGGAGAGTTGGGTCAGTCCATGGAGAGCAAACATGATTTTGCCGCTCCCAAGCCAAGCTGCAGGCATTCCAAGAGGAATACTTTTATTCCTCTAATTGAAAACAAAACCAAACTGCCTGTGCTTTTGTACTGTGGAATAAAGAAAAGGAAAACAGAACAAATACCATGTTCTGAGTGCTGCCACTTACCTTATGTCAGTAATGACAACAACATGCTCACAGTCTCCCTGGTGACAATATAAGTAAGGAAAACCCAGTTTAATATACAGGTCGTTGAAGGTGAAATCTTCCATTTTAGCGGTCTGAAATTTTCCATAGCCTCTGTCATGGGACTCTGACCATTCAATGATAGTTCTGAAGGGGGGGAAAAGACAAGGGTAGTTCGTTATGCCACAAAAACCTAAAAATGACAGAAAACGGTTTGTGACTGCAAGTATCACTCAATGTAACTGGACAGTTGCCACCCTGAGGAGACAATCTTAGTGGCTGACACAGGTAGAAACTAAGAACTCTGAATGTGTCTTTATCCATTAGAGAAATAGTTCTCAAAGTGTGGTTCTGGAAGTCAAGGTGATCTTTGTGATTAAATGTCATTTGCCCTTTTAAACTCCTATTCTCTCATAAATGACCAGTATTCTAAAGGCTACATGATGTGTTTTATCACTTCAGACTGAATGGAAAATGTAAAACAATGACATTCGCCTCATTCTGTTCTGGAAAAGTTATTTTTTTCCCCAAAATTATTAATGTTAACATGTAATAGGATTAAATTAGTTAATATTTAAAATATTTCTTAGTTTCAACTTCTAATATGGTAAATACTGATAGCTAAAGCCCACATAATCATAAAGTCCTTTAGACTCCTCAATTATAGTATAAAGGAATGCTGAAAGCAGCAAGTTTGAGAACTGCTACATTAGAATACAGATACAAATGGCTAAAATGAAAGAGAATGTATATAAACACTCAGAAACAATATACATATATATTCGAGTTGCTAAGACACTGAGAGTAAAAGTATGGGCTAATTAACATGACTATGAGCTATAGATTTTTCATGTTATATACTTAAACATATATTTAACATACTCATCTAGGGCAAACAACAGTATATACTGGACAAGCAGAAAAAAACAGTAAGATTAATTTACTGCTATCACCTAAATATGAAAGAGACTAATAACGTGTTTAAGTGGGATTTAAAGTTTCTTAGATGTATCTATGGCTCAATACAAGATCTGCTAGAATTTTTTTTTTTTTTAAAGTAGGCTCCACACCCAACATGGGGCTCAAGCTCACGACCCCCGAGATCAAGAGTTGCTACGGACTGAGCCAGCCAAGTGCCCCAAGATTTGCTGGAATTTCTAAGACAGTAGATAACACAAAGATTTTGAAATAGTCTGTAGATCTTTGATAGGAAAATTTTCTTTCTGAAGTAAAAATTTTGATTAACTTAATAATACCTAGGCCAACCAGATGAAATAACTGAATATATTTTAAAAACTGGTATTTCTGACCCCAAAACAAACAAAACAATTCCTTAGCAAAGACCCTTAACAGACCAGTAATAGGATTTGTGGAGATCTCACTATTTCAAGAACTAGAAACAGGAAAAACTGAGAAGATTTTTGAAAACTGTACCTGCTCAAATCTCTGCACTCGGGGTATCTTTTATCATTGTAAAATGTCCCTTCAAAATAAAAGAAGGCTGATTTGTACAGGTCCTATAAGGAAATAGATGGCATTGAAAGAGAGTCCTCTATTAATAATTAGGAAAGTGCTACCAATTCAAAATCTATAGGTCATAAAACCACACTAATATGCTTTACAGTAACTTTATGGAACCTCACAAAATAATGCTCAGCTCATTAATTTGTTTACTATTTAATGAGAACCTCCTATGTGACAAGTTTTATGCTATTTACCAGGGATGAAAGTGTAAACATCTGATCCTTGCTGCCATTTTCAATGTTATCCTATTGCTGTTTTAATCACTAGGTCTGATTTAAATTCGTGTATTCTGAGACTTGTGAAAGGAACCTAATTAGAAATGAAATAAACAATTTATTTTATTATATGAATACACAGCAGTGAGTTATTTTGGATACTAGAAGTAAAAACCAAAAGTCACATCTTTGATATTTCCCCAGCGATAGGTGATTACAGAGTTATGTTTTTCTGTTATTTTTTAGTATTTTCAGCATACCTTTTTTTAAAAAAAGATTATTTATTTGAGAGAGAAACAGAGATAGCAAGAGAGAGCATGAGCAGGGAGAGGGAGAAGCAGAAGTCCCTCCTGAGCAGGGAGCCCAATGTGGGGCTTGATCCCAGGACCCTGGGATCATGACCTGAGGTGAAGGCAGACACCTAACCAAGTGAGCTACCCAGGTACCCCTCAGTGTACTTTTTTTTTTTTTTAAGATTATTTATTTGAGAGAGAGCACAAGCGGGAGGGGCAGAAGGAGAGAGACTCTCCAACAGGCTCCACACTGAGCGTGGAGACCAATGCTGGGCTCGATCCCATGGCCCTGAGATCACTATCTGAAACCAAGATTAGGATGCTCAACCAACTGCGCCATCCAGGCGCCCTCAGTGTACTTTTATAAAAATTCTCCCTTCAAATTTTCAATAATTCTTAGGCAGAATTTGAGTATCTATTCTTACTCAAGCAGTCCTTTTTTTTTTTTTTAAGATTTTATTTATTTGAGAGAGAGAGAACATGAGCAGGGTGAAGGGCAGAGGGAGAAGCAGGCTCCCTGCTGAGCAGGGAACCCGATGTGTGACTCAATCCCAGGACTTCGGGATCATGACCTCAGCCGAAGACAGACACTTAACGACTGAGCCACCCAGGCGTCCCCTTACTCAAGCAGTCTTGCCCCAGAGGACCAGAGTAGTCACACAACTGGTCTGAACCATCGTCAGGTTTCTTAACTTTCAGCCTACCAGACTTTCCAGAGGGGTGTCTCTTGATCCTCACTGCATAACAGAATCCTAGAAACACCAAAAGACCAAGTCTCACCTCAGAGCCACTGAATGAGAATCTCTCAGGATGTGGCCCAGGCATTAATGTTTCCCCAAGCTCCCCAGGAGATTCAAATGGGCAAGCAGTGCTGAGAAGCACTCTGTTAGACTTGCTCTTCACAATACCCTTACAATCAGAGCCCTGGGGGAGAGTCAGAAGACCTGTGTTCTTTTCCTTAATCTATATATAAGTACTCCTCAGACTTCGGATTCCTCACCTGTGTATCTGTCACACTATCTTACAGGACTGTAAAACCCCAAAGCACTTTATGAACTATGAAACATATGTAAGTTTCAGGTATTAAAAAAATCTTACTCTAAAATAACCAAATGTATCTCCTTCGAAGCTTCTATTTTTCTTTCTTCATTCCCTCATTTACTTATTATCGGGCAATGGCATCAGACACCCTTATGAGACTAGCTGTGCTGTTTCTCGTTGGGCCGTCCCTCAATTTCCCTGACCCTGTTTCTTCATGTAACATAGGAGTAAAGCCATTACCTCCTTCCCAGGTACCTGTAGAGACAAAAGGATAACATGTACCAGAATGCCATATCTAGCTGCTATTAACACAAAAACTGCCACTAAATATACTTCTGGACACTCAAAGAGGTAAGCTAGGATCTAAAATAAAGGTTCTGAAAGAATACTGCCTTATTTTGGAAATAAAAACAAAAGTTTCATTTTTTCATTACAAAATTCTTCTACAGGGCGCCTGGGTGGCTCAGTCGTTAAGCGTCTGCCTTCGGCTCGGGTCGGGATTCCAGGGTCCTGGGATCGAGCCCCGCATCGGGCTCCCTGCTCGGCGGGAAGCCTGCTTCTCCCTCTCCCACTCCCCCTGCTTGTGTTTCTGCTCTCGCTATCTGTCTCTGTATCAAATAAATAAATAAAATCTTTTAAAAAATAAAATGCTTCTACAGAACTTGAGGTAATTTAGGCAACTTAATGCTTTTGGTTGGCATAATTATTTAGAAGGGGTACTGTTTTGCATCTAAATCCGAAGTCATCCATTAGTAACTTTTCCTTGTGTCAGTATACAAATAGAACAGAAGATGTGAGCAATCTCAAAACCAGGTAATTTTGATTTTCAGTGGCAACCAGAGATCCTCACTACTAGTTTCCCTATTTTGTCAGCTATTTTAGCTGACCAACTCTGGGGAGGGGAGGATTGTCAACCAAAATGGAAAACCTAGTGTAAGAAGTTACTTCTGTTATGTACCTAATGTAGCCCCAGAGTCTACTGGTACTATTTCCACTTTATAAACAAAGTAACTATCGAGAACTAACAGGATCATGTGAACAAAGTCATTTATATATAATTTTAGGCATCAGTAGTTTGTTCTCTTGTTAACATTCAAATCAGCTATATTAGAATTTCAGAAATAGGGCACCTGGGTGGCTCAGTTGGTTGAGCGTCTGCCTTTGGCTTGGGTCGTGATCCCAGGGTCCCGGGATGGAGTCCCGCATTGGGCTCCCTGCTCAGTGGGGGAGTCTGCTTCTCCCTCTCCCTCCACCCCTCCCCACAGCTTCTGCCCTTTCTCTCTCTCTCTCAAATAAATAAATAAAATCTTAAAAAAAAAAATTTTCAGAAGTATTCCTAGGATCTGCTGTGAGAAAATGGTAATGGGAGAGATGCTGAAGAAGCTCTTTGTCTTACACCAGGGCTTTATTTATAATAAGTAACAGCAATATGTGCCAAGTATTTTTTTAAGTTCCTCTAAGCAAGACCCTTAAGAGATTATTGACAAAAAAGAAAAAAAAAAAACTAATCTGAGTAATGTTAAAAGTAGACCACATATTAAAATGTGGGGGGTCATTAAAAAAACAAAACAAAACAAAAAAACAACACGAGTAGAAAATACTGGCCTGATCTTATACATATATTTAAAAAAAAAAAAAATGCACTCCGGGTGCCTGGGTGGCTCAGTTGGTTAAGCGACTGCCTTCGGCTCAGGTCATGATCCTGGAGTCCCTGGATCGAGTCCCGCATCGGGCTCCCTGCTC